AAAAACCATAACAACGTTCATAGAAACGTACAGAAACGTTATAAAATCTTCATACCTAGGCTACTCAATGTCCTTAGCACAGGGGAAAATATTGTAAAAATTTGGTTTTCTCTCTTTGTGCCCTATAGGCTGCTTTAGGTTCGCAAGGCATTGTGGTAAAATGTACAGCCGCCATCTTTTTTCCTACGGTGGATTCTCGCGAGTTTCGTAGGTTGAATATTAAGTCGATTTTTAATCGACGTTGTCTTTGGCGTGGTTGCCGTTGCTGCTTAAAGTGCTTTTTTGCTATTTGGGCAGCGAGCGTCTGCCTGCACTTTCGACCATCTGTTTGTGCGGTTGCCTAGCTTGTGTTTGAGCGTTTGTTTGCTTTGCACTCGTTTGTCTAACAATTATCTGCCGTTCATTCAGTTGTTATTGTTTGTGCAGGAGACATCCGTCTATTTAAACTCCTATTAAAGTTTCGAAATGTGTTAAAACATAACGAGAGCCGAAGCTGCTTTCCTTGTAATCAAAATATCAAAGAAGACATCCCCACACCGTTGGAGGTTTTCCTTTGCTTTGAAACGAAACGAAACGAAACATATACATATCCTCCACGAAAACATCCACGCAACGCGCGAGTAATATCCGCGGAAGAACTGGGTACAATGTCTTAAAATAACTTAAGAGGGATTACCTTAGTTAGAGGACCTATATGGGGGATTCACTCTCTTACCTTGATAATCTCTTGACGATGTGCATGCTCTAATTATCTCTTGGAAAAAAAACAAAAAACAAAAAACACAGAGTTTGAAAGAGACTAATAATGACAAGGTTCATAGATACAAGACTGAGCTTCAATTAAATTTTGCAGGATCTTTTTCTTCCGATAGATGCCCATGATAATTCAGAGTCAATGTTTATCTTTTTCCACTACTGTAAATGAAGATTCGTTGCACTTGTGATTATGATAGACACTCTATGGAGCTTTACGAAAGCTTTTCACAGGCTCCGAGAGACCCATATCAGAAGGATACTCATATATTCTACCAGGCTGTAAATTTACGGTCGCTCCTCGAAAGCTGACTTTAGTAAAAACCTGCCAAGTTTCACCCGTGTGTTTAGACACAACAATTGAAGAGGCTCCTTCGGGAAGAAACTTCGTCACGTCATTGCTCTCTCTGCTGAACTCCTACGAAAACGGAATTACGCTCACTGACTTGAAGATAATAATAATGATAATGATAATGATAATGATAATGATGATGATGATGATAATAATAATAATGGCAATAATAACTGTATTTAAGTGTCAAATGTATTTAGCACTATTAAATGTGCTAATTGGGGACACTGTAAATAAATAAACAAATATTTCAAATATAACATAAACTAGTAAGAATCCCAACTGGGTGGAGGCTGACCAGTTGGCTATTTACCCAATGCGGTCGAGGAGTTGAACTCGGGGCTACCTCCAGATTTCAAATCCAGCGCCCTAAATCACTCGACAATGCCGCCTCCGTGTGATGATGATTGATCATCGCAGTTATACACACAACTTAAGAACCTGAAAATTCAGGCCTGAACGGGATTCGAACCCATGACCTCTGCGATACTGGTGCAATGCTTTATCAACTAAGCTATCAAGCCAACTGGGAGGTGGTTACATTGTGAGTTCGTAATATACCCGTAGATGGTGAAGAATACAAGTGAATATATCAAAGATCATATATTTGATCATATATTTGAACTGGTCAACTGAAGGAATTGTGAAATTAAAGCCTGAACGGGATTCGAACCCATGATCTCTGCGAGATCATGGGTTCGAATCATTTTTTTTTTCAGGCTTCTATTTCACAACTGCTTAAGTTGTGTATATAACTGCGATGATCAATCATATCTTCATATCTTTCTCCGCAGTTCAAATATATGATCTTCCATTGATTCCCTTGTCTTGAGTGCAATTTCCCAATCATGCTGTTTCTGTCTCAAATTACAGTTAGATATGGTAGCCAGTTCTCTCGCGGATAATGTTATCACGCGTTTTGCTTAGATGTTCCTACGGAGAATGAAAATCTATGTAAAGCATGGCCACTGACCTGGGCCGTCCCCGGGAGCAAAACCAGTGCCGCTGCATTGGCTATTTCCAGCGTCCCTACCCGTTCCCGCAACGATTTGTAACGCCGAGAGTGGTCTGTGAGTGACGTCGAGGTATCATTACTTCGGAAATGACGCCTGTATAGGGGATGAATTAAGCTACCCTTGATCCTCTCTTGATAAGCACTATGGAAATCTTACCTTCATGTTTCCCCCATAGTGAGTTAGTTCATACAATGTCAGAACTGTTTTGGACGAGTCCTGTAAACCAATGAGATATAATAATATTTGCAATGGAGACAAAGAATGCAAAGGATTGTGGTAGGGCCAAAGACTTTCACGTACGTTTCCGCATTTACGAATAAGGTTATGATTTAATCGGAGAATAGACACCACTTGTGTCATAGCAGTATGCTAAATGGAGATCTACAATCCTTGACAAAAATAGCTGGAACGCTCACAATTATTCATAGTATTTTACGTGATTAGGTATTAAGACTTTGTAAGAGATCTCAGTTTCAGTAGCTTTCTGTTGCATCCTTCATAGATTCTCTTCAGTTAGGAATAATTTCTGTGGGTAGAAAAGATTGTCGGGAAGGAAGGGAGGGGATAAAAGAAAGGAAATAGTGGAAACGTACCAACACTTTTGTCAAGGATTGTCTCAAAACATACGTGGGGTGTAGTGGTATTGTCATCTTTTAGTTTACCTTACATGATTTAAGTTTACTTTACTAAATGAAAGCAGAAAAGGTGCCAGATAATATCATCATGTTTATATAAGTGTCGGTTAACTTAATAGCCCCGTTTCTGGCTAACAATTCTGCACTTTTTCATTGAACTTACTTTTAAGAATGTGTGGATTTTACTAGGCTACTTGTTTTAGAGCGATTAGGATTGCGTTGCGCTCAGTTTTCATCTAATGTAGAAAAAAGATGAAGAAATTATTGATTAACAATACCAAAGCTATGACGTAATTCTCTAATTTGTTTCTCGAGCGGGGTTTTTCTTGAGGGGCTGCCGGTATTAACTTAGCCTCCGCAGCCGACGAGCCCGTTACGGGTTTAGTCAAACTGGTTGAAATTAACTAACATTAGCGCCGAAATGATGTCCATGAGGTGGAGCCATCTGCATTTCTCGTAGAGAATCGGGCCATCAGTAATTAAAGCAACTAAAGCTGGGCTCCTCGTGGCCATTACTTTGTAAAACATCTTATGGAAAACAGAGACTCAACCAAAAGGGCATTATAGACTAAGACAGACTAACTTGCTTAACTTTGACGTTAGAACAGAGAATGTTTTGAAGACTTCTGTCACATCAAAAGAGACGTCTATGATCCATATTTTCTCCTCTTATTATTTGATCAAAGCTAGGCAGCGGTCTTTGAGAAGGGATTTTCACTGAATGAGGAAATAAACCCCTTCTTGTCTCTCAGTTCTAAGTCACCTTTTGCGCTTGTTCAAGTTCCTTCTGGAGTTCTTCTACTTTTCTTCTGAGAGAGGCAATCTTAAAAAGACATGTACAACCAATGTGTTTAATTCTTGTTTGCAAATTTTTTTTATTAAAACTTGTTTAATATTTGAATGATAATGGTAAACAAAATAAAGAAGCATGAAACATGAAAGGTATTTTAATATTTCCTTTAACAGCTATTACTTTCTTTCGACAAAATTCAAGCCCTGTAAAATTGAGAGGCTACGTATTACGCGTCGAAACACCAAAATTAAAGTAATCATTTTGACCATGAACCAATCAAAATTCTAAGGGAATACGCGTAACTGACGCGAAGCCCGGGAAAACATGTGACGATTCGTTTTGGTTTTACCTGTGATTGGATGACATGTAGGGTAGTTTGTTTTTAAGCCAATCGCTGAGCGTGGAGATGCAAAACCGATTCGAGTGCGAATTACTTTCGACATTAAAGTGAAACAGCTATAAACTTTAAACCTTTCCGTGAGCTTTAATTAAATGTGAGTTGTTTTGAAGAAAATGTTTTAGTTCTCGATAAAAAAAGGAGCACACACGCATTAGTCTGCGATAAAAAGGAACTTTTTGCGTTTCAATCGACGAATCTCGAAACTGCTTCCAAATCAATATGGTTTTCTCCTGATTTAAGAGGAAGTGGGGAATAACGTTCTACTGACGCGCATACAAGTTAGCCTGGACTCTCTTTTCTCCCGCCTGGGTTCAATCCCTGAAAAAGGGCGGGGTAGGGAGAACTCAGGTGTTGGTTTAGCCAGGTGCGCTAACGTCCATAAGACAAAGGAAAGATCCGAATTACTTAAAGAACTAAACGTTATACTCTTCGTTCAACTTCAAAGGATTTTATTGAAGTCTACACAGCTCTGCGCAAACTGAGTGCATGTGAACTGTGTGTGTATCTTCGCTTTGACTAAATAATTGGGTTAAAACCCAGAATTGAGCTTGGTAATAAACTGCTCACATTCACGGAAGAATAAAAGGACACAAGAAACTGTTAAAATATCTGTACGGATGGAGAGGAATAGGCTGTTCTTGAATTTCTCAGTCGTAAATGGTGACTAATTTGACCTTCGCAAAAGTTTATTTTTGAACACCTTGAAGAAACTCGCAAGCCCCCTCAAGACAGTTTCGTATACCTAGAGTAAACCTCTATCCACTTTCTTAAAGAAATTCTCAGATCTTTCAGTAAACTATTTATGGCCTAATTCGGCCATGATATTGAATCCATATCAAGTCAGGGACTTAATATCGTATGACATCGGGACAGACGACACGAATGTGATTTGCTTATTTATAATTAATACAAGCTACAAGTTGACTTTAATCAGTTTAGTTTTGATTTTAATGTTTTCTTTTTCATTGCAAATAAGAAAATACCTGATCAGCTTTAACTGTAAAGCGATAAAATAATGACGAGATACCTTGATTTTTTTAGCCCCATCGTGAATACGGCTATCTGTTCTTTCAAATGCAACATGACTTGTGTTGCTTCAGCGAGATCCTAATATGAAAACGAAAACGAGGTATTTTCAATAACCAATGCTTCTATTGGTATTTTCAGTCTAAACACTGGGATTTTTTTTAACAGATTACGATTACAACACAAGGGACAACAACAACAACAATGGAATCGTTTACTGATGCAGTGTCGCCTAATCAAAAAGTAGCCATAACATGCAACCGAGGCAGGGCGTGCTATCACTTATGAATGCTAGAGTGGTATTGTCGTGGTGGAGATTTATCGAGCGTTTGTACCAGCCAACAAAAATCTAGATGATTCATTTGTTGTTAGGAACTTCCGGAAACATCACGGAAAATTTGAAAATTAAGCGAGACTTACCAAGTCGATGTTTGATTGGAATTCTTCCTCGTCATTAGTCAGGAACGAAGGAGTTACATGAGAAGCATGCGCATGCTTATCTGGTCAGTCTTTAAAGAGGGAGTGTTTCCAGGAGAAAAGCAGGAACGAAGGAAAGGGAGGGAAGAAACCAACTTACAGGTCGGGCATGTAACTCCTTCGTTCCTAACTGATGACGAGAAAGAATTCCAATCAAACATCGACTTGGTAAGTCTCGTTTAATTTTCAAATTCTACCTCGTCATCAGTCCGAGTCACTACGGAGTTACATGAGATTTGAAAGACCTGGAAACGCACCCAAACAAGGTAGCAATGTAGGGCAGACGATAGAATGCAATGATCTGTATAAAGGGTCTGATATATTTCCCAAACAAAGGTTGCAGACTGCCACTCGGGTGGCCAAAGAGTATAATATTACGTGAATTAAAATGTAAAATAAAATAGAATATACAAATGACTTGCACACAGTCAGCGTGAATTGTTTCGAAAATGTTCAAGCACACTCGTGCCAAAGTTCCTTACAATTGGCATATTGTAATGTTTAGTGAAAGTCTGAGCGTTTGACCATCTGCCAGGTTTGAGGATTTCTTTCAATGTGAGGCTGGTTTGCGTGGCATAAGAAGTCGAGGTGGATCATCCACTATGGCTGGTGAACTTTGTGACATCAATCCCTGCATCTTTGAGCACAGACTTGGACCACTCACCTATGGTAGTATTTGAGATAGCTTTGTGGGGCTTGACATAACTCAGGAGTAGCTGTAAGGTAGAGCCTCTGAGGCTTTCAGTTTTGGCAAGGTACTGATCGAGGTGTGTGACAACACAGAGGTTGATATCAGGCTCAAAAGGTCTCAACTCAATTGGTTCCAAGTGTTTCCCAGGCTTAGTTGTCTTAAGCTTTTCGCCAATAGTGAAAACATATTTTCCTGGTAGTTTCTGCATCAGTTTTATGTCTAATTTAGATAAAGTTTGGCACCTTTGGCCAGTAAGTAGACACAGCAACATGGTCAGCTTAAGTGTAAGAACTTTGAGGTCTAAGCTATCTACAGGCTTTAGAGTCTTTAGATGTTCTAAGACTACGCTAACGTCCCAAATGTGGTTGTATCTAGGTAGGGAGGGTTTTAACTCGAAGACGCCTTTTAGAAATCGAGATACGAGAGGGTGATTCCCAAACGTCACGTTTCTAGGGAGTGTAAGTACCGAGGATAATGCCGACCTAGTGGTATTAATGGCGCTATATCCCAGGCCTTCCTCATAAAGATGCTAAGAAATCTATCCCATGTTCAACGCTCGCGTCTTCCTCCGGAATTGCTTTCTTAGCACAGAATTTCTCCCACCTTCCTAGATAAGAGTGATATTGTTTTCCGGTACCTGATCGCCAAGAGGCCATAATAATGTGTTTAGCTACTGTGGACAATTTTTTATTGTTCAGCTTTTTGCGGATAAGAGGCATATTAGGAGATTCAGCCTTTTGTGTAGAGGGTGAATCTGTTCCGGTTGGTTTGGAAGGGACATCAGCGTCTCGCATGCTTTTAACTCGACAGGCGAGCGTGTGATCATTTGCATTGCTTTTGGAAACCACTGTTGCGTTGGCCAGTTTGGCAGCACACACACTCCTTCGGCTCTGTCCTCCTGGATCTTCTTTAGAGGGGAGGGTATGACACTAAAGGGAGGAAAAGCATAAAATTTTAGCCCAGTCCAAATCAAGGAGAATGCATCGATGGCCATAGCCCCGGGGTCAAGTCTGTACGCCACATATTGCGGGAATTGACAGTTAAGTCGAGAGGCAAACAAATCGATTTCCGGTGTGAATTGCAAACTCTCGAGAGCTTGCGACAGTAATGCTTTGTTTAGCATCCATTCATTAGCAGTTTGATGTTGTCTGGATTCGTGGTCGGCCTCAACATTAGATTTCCCTGCAATATGTGTTGCGCTGACCCAAAGGTTGCGTGAAATGCACCAGGCCCAAATTTTATTGGTTAATGTGTTCAGTTGTTCGGAATGGCTAGTTCCCATGTGGTTAATTACCGCAACTGCCGTAGTGTTATCTATCTGGTCTAATATGCGTATCGCTGTGCGATCTACAGAATACTTTAAGTCCTAGAAACACGGCTAGAAGTTCAAGGTAATTAATGTGATGACTCTTTTCATCGGAAGACCAGAGGCCTCCTGTTAACTGATTACCGTATACCGCTCCTCAGCCTTCTTTAGAGGCATCTGTGGTGAGCGTACACGTCGGTCCATCGCGAGTCAAGAAATTCTTACCTGCCATCACATTGTCTACCCACCACTCGAGCTCGGATTTTGCTCTTGGTGACAAAGACATGCGCCTGTCGAAATTCCATTGCTTGTTGCGCAAGGCGCGAATTTTTTCTTGCTCGGTGTGGCAGTAGTGTAGGGGCCCATACATAAGGGACCGTTCATTTTTTATAAGGTAGGGGGGG